CCGCGGGGAAGAAGAAGAGGAGGAGGAGGAGGGGGGTGCAGACGACGGGGAAGCCGAGGAGGAGCCTGAGGAGGAGGAAGAAGAAGAGGAGGACTTGATCGATGGCTTCGCCATCGCTAGCTTCGCCAGCCTAGAGGCCTTGCAGGTGGAGCCTTATGGGGCTGGGGACATTTAGGACTTTCAGAGGGCCAGAGAGAAGGGTACAGTGACGAGTGGGTGGAGTTGAGGGGGGAATGCTGGCACCCCAAACCAGAGCAACCGGCTCCTCGGGCCAGGCCTCTGCCCCACCCTGGGGTGGGAGGAGGTAGAGCTAGTCTCCAGAGACCAGCCAGGTTACCCGGCCTAAGGGGTGCTTTGGTAGCTTGGTCACCCTAGAGAGGTTGAGGAGTTTCCTTTTTCCAAGCACTTCAGTCCCACCTCCTCTTCCACAGAAGGATGCATCTCTTCAGCCCCCAGAGCGACTGGAACATCGGCTGAAGCATTCTGGGAAACGGAAGAGGGGGGGCTCCAGTGGGGCCACTGGGGAGCCAGGGGACAGCTCTGATCGAGAGCCTGGCCGGCCCCCTGGGGATCGGGCCCGAAAATGGCCCAATAAGCGGAGAAGGAAAGAGGTGAGCTTGTCCTAGATACTCATCTTTTAGTCTGTTTAGCTAGAATACTTTTCACATAGACTGTTTTCTGTCAGCATCGCCACTGCCTGTCATAACCAGTAATCCCAGTCTCTCAGGGCAGAGAGGAAGGTAGAACAAAGTTGAGCCCAGACGCCTCTCCGGGGCTGACAAAGACCTGCCCGCAGTCAGACTCACCTGCTGTTGGCTGGTACTATGTATGCTTCAAACATGTTGATAATTAAGAGACACATCAAAGGGACTTTAGTTGAATCATAAATAAATTAGATGTGGCCCCTGCCCTTCCCTGGAGGTGGTGGCAGTCTAGCAAAGGAACAGTCAAGTAAGCACATAGACTGGGTAATTTGAGAATCTAAAGAAGGCAGAGATCTGGGAAAGATGCTGCAGAAACCCACATGAGGAAGCCACTCATTCTGCCTGGGGGATGGGAGGAGGATTGTGGTTAGGGAAAGCCCCCTAGGATGTGTTAGTCAGGCCCCAAGGTATGGTCAGAAGTTTGCTAAGAGGAGAAACGGGAAAGTTGTTGAGGCCACAGGCACAGAAATGTGAGAACCTGATGTACTTAGAAAATGGTAACAGCTCTGGGAAGGGGGTAGGCAGTAGAAGAAGAAGCAGTTGAGAGTGAATTTTGAGAGATATTGAGTGCCTTGCCAAGAGTTGAGACTTTATCTACCTGCACCATCAGCCTCACTTACCTCTGGACTCTGGTTTTTCTCAGGCCTCTTCCCGTCACTCTCTGGAAGCTGGATACATAGTAAGTGCTATCTACTTATATTGGCCCCTCCCCTCTCCACCTTGGGCCCCACTTTCCTTAACTCTGGTGACACTTGTCTTTCTTTCTCCCTAGTGTGACGCGGAAAGTGATCTGGATGAGAGGGTAAGTGGGGCTAGAACTTGTTGGATGGGCAGTGTCCTAGCTTATAAAATGGACTGTAGCTTGAAGGCCTCTGTGCAGTAGAGTCGCCCCTTGAGTGGAGAACATGGGTTAGGTTTAGCCAGGATTAGGTTTCAGGGAGGAAGGGGAAGATTGGAAGGGGAAATGGTTTCTTTTGTCAGTGACTAAGGCCAACAGACCAGAGGAGAGAGAGCTCATGGCCTGGCATGCCATTCTTTTCAAAACCCTTGGAGCTACCTTTAGTTTTCCATAGAAATCCAGAGTGGCTGTGGAACTGAGATGGTCTGTCCTTCTGACTATTGGTCTGCTTTTCTAATTAGGATCTCATATATAAGAGTCTAAGCAGAGACCATAGTCATGGCAGTAAGGACACGAAGCCATCGTAGTCAGGGTAGGAACTTACCCCATGGAGGTATGTTTTAGTTTATTATAAGGGCTGACTCACTTGTTTTGAGGTCAAATGTCCTACCAATTAATGCTCTTATCCACTTGGCCCCTATAAGGAACTATTGCACTCTGACCTCTGTCTCATTTTCTTTTCAAAACTTGGCCAGAGGGGGACGTAGTGAACTAGAGAATCCACATCTGTCTAAAGGGATGGTCCATTCTAGTTCTAGCTGATTGTTGTCATGTGAGATGGGCACCATTTTTCAAAAGAATATGCAACTCTGGGTTTTAATGAGGGACTCTGGATTTGTAAATGTCGGCAATTTTTTAAACATTTTTTGCTAACCTTCACAGACTAAATCTGTAAGCCAGGTAGGCCTATGGGCCAGCGGTTTGTGATATTGGACGTTTCTTCCTTAATTCGCCTGCTTTTTTGCCACTTTAGTGCTGCTTCCATTTCAGTCCTCCTGGCCTGTTAGATTTCTTAGGCTCAGAATCCTTTCTCCAAACTTAGGCCCCATAGACTATGTCCACAATCTCTGATGGTTCTCAGTGGATTTGACAGAATAGACTTGCCACCACCACCACCAGTTTCTAGCAGGCTCCAGTGGTTGTGGTCTTCCTGAATGGAGGCCTGACCCAACCACGTGTAACTCTATTCCTACTGTTTTTTCCCAGGTCTCCGATGATGACCTCGACCCATCCTTTACTGTCTCAACCAGCAAAGGTTGGTCCCAAGGGCGGGGGCTGGAGACAAAGGAGAGGGAAGTTGGGTGAGCATGAGTCTCAACTGACTATGTCTTTCATCCTGCTCTCGTAGCCTCGGGCCCCCATGGCGCCTTCAATGGGAACTGTGAAGCAAAACTCTCCGTGGTCCCTAAAGTGTCGGGCCTGGAGCGGAGCCAGGAACAGCCCCCAGGCCCCGACCCGCTG